GAAAGGCTCCAAGAAGGTCAGGTAGTTCCCCAGTACCTGCGAGACATCAAATACACCTCCCACAGGCTTCGGAAGACCGATGGGAAAACCATTACGAGATTCCTGACACATGGAAACCCAACCAGGACTTTTTGGACACCAACTTAGTCTATGGCCTAGCACTCCCTCGTCAGGTCATCTCAACGTCTGTCAGTAGAAACCTTGGCATCGACAATGTACCTATTCATGAGGTGAAGCTTATCCCTATCATCCACAACATGTCTCAGAATTGGTGCCTACGTCTGTTGGCAAATGGCAAAGCCACATTCCTTGAGTTGTTTCGTTCCCGTCAAGAATGCTACTTTACATCAGCCCTTATGAAAATTCTTCGTGAGCAGCAAGTTGATTTCAATCAACTACTGTCAGGTGCTGCGGCCAAACAGGGTTTGTCCACAGATTTAACACAGTGGAGTGCCAGAAAAGCAGCCCTAGAAGCATTGGCCGATTTCACCATGGAACAGTTCCGCACCATTCTCCCACAGGACCCTTCCAATCAGTTGATGGAACGATTACGTAGAATGGAAGAGGAGAATGCCAGACTTCGTATGCAAGTAGGTCAAGGTGCTGCTGACAATTCGCATCAATCCCAAGCAGAGCCCGCAGTACCAGGGATAGCACCAAGCAGGAACATGCCATCCCATTCACCTCCCCACACCCTCCAGGCTCTTCCCACGCCTGCTGGCCCCAGCACCTCACCCCCAGGTACTGCAGACAGCACACGACAACCAGGGCAACAGACATTGCCATTCAGCGGACAAGGAAACGCAACAACTCAGGCACTGAGCAAGCTGACAGAACTGGCAGTACGAGACCGCCCAAACCATTTAGAATCCACAGGTCCCAAAAACCATACTGTGCAGTGTATCAATTCTTGGATGAAGTCGCAGGTTCCAGATACGAAGCAGCATGCTGAGATTGATCGACGTGCCAGGGAGTTTAAGGAAATGTACGAGAAACTCGATGCTGGCCAAGCACCGTCTCTACAGCGGATGTTGGTGAGTTGGGGCATGGAGCCCAGTGATGCAACCAAATTCAAGCCAGGGGAGGCTCTCAAGCTCCTCACGATTTTGAACCATTTGCACCGCTGACTTTGTCCGCATTTTGCGGATGCATGCATGACCAGTTTTGACTTACAATTCATGGGATCAACGAAGTTTGTCCTAGATGCAATAATTCACAAGTTTTTCCGGTGGATACAACCAGTCCGGAAGACCTTTTTTGAACAATTCAACTATTTCTCCATGCGGAGATACCTCTGGTTGGAAACGATGCTTTTCACCAGGTTCGTTCTGTTGAAGAACATGTGCAGCACCACGACGAAAACATGGATCAAATTAGCACGGTTTCTCAAATCACAAGAGATCACAGGAAATTCTACGTTTGAGCAATTCCACTCGCCAGGATGGGTGTATTTAAAAACTTCTTGCGTCCAAGAGCACGCTACCTGGTGGTACGTGGGCAGTACAACAAATACACCTATGGATAGGGAATATAGTCGCTATCGAAAGTATGAGCAACTGCGTAAAGGAGTTGACGCCTTCTTTGAACCAGCACTGAAGATTTGGCAGAGCACCCAAACATTTTTTCATTTCATCATAATTCCATTGCAGCAAATTGACGATGAAATTGCATTGCGAGCAGCAGAAACGACATTAATCGGTCAGCTCAGGCCTATGTTGAACCACCCATTTGTCAATCCATTATTGAAGAAACACGGCGTTGCTGCCCCTTTGAATTTTTCTATGCCTTGTGAAGCAGCCGGCAAGCGTGTACACGATCGTTTCTCCTTCCTTGCTAACTGTGCCCTGGACGAATCTGCCATGAGTCGCATGTGGAAGCAGCCTACACACTTGTTCGAGCTGTTGTACTGGCTAGGATGCACAACTCGACGAAAGTTCCATGCAGCACAAGTTCTACGGAGTTCGCAGGTAAACCTTGAGTTTCTGTACATGCTTTACAAACTTGTACACCAGATAGATGAACCCTGGCGCACGCGTGCGCAACGATCGCTAAAAAACTGCCTTGAGTTCAAAGGTGGGCATGCCCCCCCCGCGAATGTGCCAATGTTGCTGTTGCCCCTGCAGTGCGATGTGAAAGACCTAGTTCGAACGTGGCTTCGAGAGCTGCTGCAACATCATTCCTGTTTGTTTCCCTGGTTTCATGTACCAACCACACATGTTGTTCTGCGACGAAACAGGCCTTTTTCAGATTTCGTTTTCAATTTCCATTCTTTCTTGCAGAGCTGGTCCCCAGACGAATGCGTGTTTGAATGTATGGCTTGCGGTACATTTGATTATGGAGATCATGTACGTTCAACTGGACATGTGTTCAGCACAGCAAGTGGGTTGTTTCCAACGTTACTGGTTGGACATCTGAACTTAGCTGACACCGTGTTTCCATCACAAAGACGCTGGATCACAGATGCACAACAACAATTTGCTAAATGGTGCGAAAGATGGCGGCTAGGAAGACGGTTCACAACCATATGGAACTACATGTGTCACTATATTTGGCAACAACATGTCCAAGCAGTTTCCCGTGACGGTGTTTGTACATTCCAAGCCCTGTTTCGTGAATTGCGTAGTATAAGAAGGTTCGTCATTTGCCCAGCTGATCACCATCCTCATCGAGCTCATTTGTGTTGCCCACATCATTATCACCACCTCCTCATGAAAACGTTCATGACACCTGACGTGTTTGTCAGATGTTCTGTCGGTTGGAACACAGTTTTCCCACGAGTTATGGTCGATTTGGGAGATAGCCTTCCACCTCACTTGCGAAAATTGGCCTCACCTGGTGGAAAGTGCCCATGTGCGTATATTCTTCCCAAACCTAGCAAACATTTTGAAGCGGCGCGTCCGATCATTGCATATACAAACAGTTGGAACAACCGATTAGGCGAAGTCATTGGAGGGGTAGTATTACAGCTGATTCGGTCATTATTTCGTGAGACATCGCTGGACAAAGACGTTGTTCAAATCATGCGGGCAATTCATTATGTGTTTGATGATTTACCGAGCCATCTGCCTATAAACATGGACCAACAAGACTTATCAGGTTTTTTCAATTCGGTACCACATTCTCGAATGGTCGACAGTGTATGGTATGCGTTGCATGTGTATTGTCACAAGTACAATGTGTCTCTGGACAGCACTATTACTTTCCAACTTCAAGATCGTGAATCTGCCCAACGAATTTTTCGTGGTCGGTATCGACGAGCTGGCAATCGTACGACGCAAGTCAGTTTGATTCATCTACCTGCAATGGTTTCCTTTCTTCTACGTAATTCATATTTCATGGTTGGTCGGCATCTGTTTAAGCAAGTTCAAGGTGCTAGTATGGGTTCACACTTTGCCCCGGCGTTATGCGGACTCGTAGCAGCATGTCAAGAACACATTTTTTCCAAAACATTCGAGGATATGATCGCGGCAAATCGACTGTTGTGCAATACCCGATATGTGGATAACCGGGCTATGATGGGCTTTGGATCATGGCGTTGTTCTCCTATTTGGTCCGTCTTCACACATGCAGAATTCTATGGAGCGCCTATTTTGCTTGAAGAAGTGTCTGACCCAATATTATTGGGGGTACACGTCGACACAGATCAAAGAACCACTACAGTTCGTTTCCATCATGATATGAGTCACTATCGCTCCAGCATTAGTCAAGGATCCGATCTTGCCTTGTCTTCAGCATTTGCAGCGCGCTTACTGATGGTCCTCAGATACACACACCCAAAATCGCTGGTCATTCCTCAAATTCAAGATCTTTGTGTTATTGCGTTGCGCTCCGGATTGACAATGCGCGCAGTGAAGCAACAACTTTGGAACTGGGCGGCCAAGATTCGAAACAACACTGACCACGCCGATAGGACGCGTTCCTGGATTATTGAACAGATTCTGATTCCAACCGTTCTTGATGAATGTGCGCAGTAAAAAATGCAGAACGCTGCGCTGACCATACATGTGATACCACAACCGGATATGACGGTCACATTTCTTTTGATCCGTTAAATCATCTACAGGTGATGGCGACTGGGCAAAGCCGAAAAACCCAGGATTTCACGTTTAAATAGACGAACAATTTAATAAATAGATGCTTTCGTGCGACATGTGGCGTCACAAGCGTGCTTGACACTGAGTGCGCTAGGATATAGGTCGAAATAAACGCACGAAACTTTGTTGCCCCTTCTCGCCGGACATTACGCGCGTCCTTAGGAGTCATGGCGTTACCCAGGTATAAGGGTTGGCAGGTTCATCCAACAAGGTTTCTGTTACTGCAGCAGCCAATTCTGGCGCCTACCACACCCAATCATGGTATAGAGCAGTTTTGGAGCAGTTTTCGTTCGATTGTAGCTAGCGCCATTCTACAAATTACATGCGCTCACACTTGTCATAGCAAGTTTTGCCCCGTCGTGGGGCGTGTGTGTGTAAACCCTTCTAGCACAGGGAATGGTTAACTACACATGCAGGGGGGCAAGGCCTTCAGTGACTACCTTGCCCAACGAAGCTGTGTCACTGAAGGGGAAGCAACTGAGGACGCTCAGTTGTGTACCTGCTTGGTTAAAACTGGTTAAAACTGTTGACTTCGGTTCTGTTCATGCGCTGTTTGTTTTCTATTCCGTTATCCATTTTCAGCAAGCGATTTTTTGCTGTTGCACTGCAATTTGAAATCTGGTTTCACGACCGCTTCGACCTTTTCGACCTCTTCAACCTTGCGTTCTTGGATACAGCCTTGACAAGGTCTACCAGGTAGGAATTGCCAAATCTTTTAAGTTAAAACCCTGCAGAACGAACTATCCGCACGATTCGACGCGACCAATTTGGAACCAGCTCCAATTCTTAAAACCAGTCCAGTGTGTGTGTGTGCGTGTGTGTGTGTGTTATGTTATTTCCTCGCTTTGGGTCCGGTCCTTTATTTGTGCTTTGACTTCAAAAACCGGTATAAGAATTCCATGAAAGGACTGGGAGGCGAATTTCACGAAAGTGACGCTGTGCCCAGTGGGAGGCAAGCCTGTTCCTCCGGGAGAGGCAAGTGATGAGCATGTTGACTCAGGGGAACCAACCGGTTTCTTCTCCAGTTTGTTTGGGTGGTAGATGGTACCTTTGCCTTGAGGCCACCCTTAAAGAAGATGGCCAGAGATTCTTAGAGTCGGTTTTGCCAGTTGTGACTGCCCATGGTGGCAGCTGGGCATTGTTTGGGCTTGCAAAGCAAGCTCGATGTTCAGCAATGCATTTAGGGAAATGGAAGCAGCTGCCAAAAAAAAGTAGGGCCCTTAAAAGATGGTCAGTACCGTGGCATGCCGTCATTCGAGATTGATTCGTATTTTAGTCAATGGCGCGCCGTCACATTTGGCTCCAATTTTTGTTGCTGAGATTGGACGGGACGGCAGCATGGCACAGGTGGGCTTCCTCCCGAGAGTACTGCTTTTGATACTTGCCGCCTGGCAAGAGACAGAGGGGTTGCGGCAAACATGTAGCCAAGAATGCCAGAACTTTTTCACCCATGCCTCCGAGTGTTTACACTATGACGATAGAAAAGTTTGCGGCTGCAGCATGTCGACATCGCCACTGGCTGGTGATGCCCGGTGTTGTTTGCTCGAGACATTCAGGAAGTGTTTGACTTCCAATTGCTCCCATTATGCTCCTTTCGACTTCACCCAGGTTACTTTCAATACCAAAACCGACCAGGCCACAGATGGCTGGTGGATCTTGGGCCAAGGCAGACTGGCCGGCACTCGCTGGAAGTTCAACTCCACGGACTTAGGCACCTGCAAACTGTTTAGTCACAAAGGTGGCAACAAGTCTTACAATTTTCCCGTGCCAGAAGATTGGTCCGGTGTTTTCTACGCCGCTGTGCCAAACTTCACACAAATATACGGTCAGAGAGGTAATGCCATCCAGCAAACAGTGAAGATGGAATTCACCATCGAGGAGTCGGCAAAATCTTTCAATTGGGACTTGTCTGCGATTCCCAATGGTGCTCCCGGCGAGTGCCTGGATAAGTCTTGGGTTGGCAAGAGCTACTGCAACATTACTTTCAACAAGTCGGCAACTGATGACAATTGCAAATCGGTTGGTGGTCCCTCAAACCCGTCTAATTGGTCGTGCCCCGATCCTCATGATGCCGGGTGTCATGGCGGATGCCCCACGGACAGTGTGAAACACCCATATCGTGAAGGTTGGTGGGGCATGGGGGCATGCTACAACTACGACGAGTGTAAGGAGCGCAATGGTGGCTGGTGCTCATACTTCAACCAACGGGGGTACAAGGTCAAGGCGGCCAAAGACCTCGATTGCCACTTCAACAAGGGCGGCAATTGCGAATGCCCTTGGGACAGCGCCAGGTCTTTGCCAAAAAACATTTTCCAGTGCTCCTTCGGAGAAGATGAGAAGGACATCGGGGGACCTGACCAAGACTGCTTCACGGCCCCGCACGATGACCGAAAAGACATTTCGTGCGACAACGCCAGCCCAGGAGAACAAGTCCTCAGTGTGGACATTTGTCTCTGGGGGGACAAGGACTGTGATGGCACCTTGAAAAGCACTACTTTCACTGCCAAGTGCGAAGGCAAAGTGAAAGGCAAGTGTCCAACAAAGGGCACTGAAATTTGCAACACCAATGGCAAATGTTGCCCAGAAGATTGTCCGGACTATGACCCGCAGGATCTCACAAACATCAAGAAGTGCGAGGAATTGCTTGACCATGTGAAGGACGAAGCCAAAGTCAATAGTACTCTCAGGCAATGCCAAGGATATTCTCTCCCACTCGGCAACAAAAGATATGCCTGCATGCTATTGAGCACCCAAAAATTGCAATGTGAGCCAACAAATTTCACAGCTGATGAAACCGTAAGCTGCACCGCTCCTGGGAAAGTGCAGAATGATCCCGACTTACATTGGACTCGCTTCGAGTGTGAGCAGGCGCCTGGAAAGGCATGGTGTGAAGTTAGACCGCCATCCCCACTGGAGAAGTGCGAAGCACTGTGCCCCAAAACATTGTCCAAATGTGAAAATTGCTACAACCCTAACAACACACCCTGCTTTGACAGCAATGCCGGGGTCTGTGCAGGACTAAAAAAAAACAGGGACCAGAAGGTTGCAGAAAAGCAGGATTCATTCCATGTTCATTGAAATGACTGCAATGCAGCAACAGATGTTGTGATTTTTGTGCAACTGAGCTGCAAGTGCTTTGACTGATTGTACTAGACTCGTGGGTGATATCGTCTTGGCATGTCCTGGCAATATCTTGGCCGCAGTGATTTTCAAATTTTAATTTCGTAGCTTCCATGGAGACGGTAAGACACCGACCCAACTTTTGGCAGACTGCGGCAGACACCCTGGAGAAAATGATGCCGCTGATGCTGCTCAGACCTGAAACGCAAGAGAACTTAGCACTGAAGCCCTGCCGGTCAGGTGGAGAAAAGATGATAAAAGCACCTGTTTCTGTGACACAACTTCTCGCATTTCTAGAAACCGGTTAGCAGCTCCGCTGGTCCGCAGCACAGGTCCACAGGTCCAGGACATGGGACATACTGGCATTCTGGGCTGTGTAGAGTCGAAGAGCTCCACCATGGCACCTGCAGAAAGCAAGATCATTGGCGTGCCTTGCCAGCCTGCGTTGCCGATTTCAAATGATTTCAATCATGTTCAAACTGCATTTGGATGACTTCATGTTTATGATGTGTGTCCGCATTTTGTGTCTCTGAGAGCTGTCGCCACGCTTAAATCAATGTCTCGTAATTGCTGTGGATCCTTCAGATGTGTGGTACCGAATGTAACATTTTTCAGAGTCACCAAGATGTGAGGTAATGGGCGGCTCATTCAATCCAATCCACCTGGGGCACGCTTTGCTCGACCCTAGCTTAGAAACAGCGAAACTCTTTGCTGCTGTCATGACTTTGCACAAACGGAGATGATTTTTACCTCCATGAGCGGCGCGATATGCCACCAGTGACTGAGGCCATCACGGTCCGTGAGACAAAGCCTGTGGATGAAGTGCTATTAGTCCTCTCGTAGCATTGGTTTGCGTCATTTTTTTCTGTCTTGCCATGTTTTGCCTGTAACATGGAAGTAGATCATGGAAGAGCTGCTTCGTGGCATTTGCATGCAGAAGCTGCCATGGCGTGCCATGGCGCCGTCACTTCCATTCACGGCCACTTGAGGTTCCAGTATTCAAGCACCCGGTCAAGAAGGACCTTCTTCCCTTTGAAGATCGTGTGGCCATGTGCAAGCTCGCGGTGTCGGCCAGCCACATAGGTAACTTAGATAATTTAGAGGTTGTTACATTGCTCACTGGGCAACATGTTCTGCCAACACAAGGCAGCTGGCTTGCGGGTTGTGGCTGTGTTGACATATTGACATTGTGTGACATTTTTAAGAGGCTGTCTTCAATGTTACCATGTTGCCTCTGGCCTGTGCTGACTGCCTCACGTTTGATTCATGACGATGACCTAGGTGTCAGCTCCGTTGAAGAGGAGACTGGTGAATCCAATGCTGGAAGCTTGAACAGTAGATATCTAGTAGATATAAGTAGATGCCAGACATGTTGCCACACAAGGTGACCTTGACAGAATGAGTAACGAATGGAATTCAACGTCGGGCTAAGGCTGTCATGTTGCGAGCTTTGCGGAAAAAGTATCCAAAAGGTAGCCGCTTGCTGTGGGTTTGCGGAGATGATGTGCCTCTCGGCGACAGACTGACACGGAGATTAAGTTCAAACTATGGCCAACTGTACCGGCTTTGCTCTCAACCCCACCCGACTCCATCCCACTCCATCCCACTCCTCACCCCAAACTTTCACCGCATACTCGCGGTAATGAATGATATTGTCCCCGCCAGATCCCGCAAGTACAATGTTACAAGTGAAGTCATTCTCGCCTGTGAGTCTTGAGGGGCGCGCTGAGGCACAGATGTAACGTAAGTTACTCGTAGGTTGTATTCACTTGTACCAGTGAGTCTCCTACCCGTTTGGGATCTTTTGGGTATGCATTAAGTGCCTTGGACCATTGGAGCTGAAAGTTGACTTATGCCTCAATATGTCCTAGGATTTTCAATATTTGAACGATATTGACCGGCTTTGGGCTTTGCGAAGTAATTCGATGTTGTGTTGTTTGAGTACCACGTCACATCCTGTGTTTCACGTCAATGTTTGTACCATGAAAACCGCTACAGTTCTATACAGCTCTGCAGGAAAATGAAATGCCATCCGGTGCCTTTAGGTTTGATTGGATCTCCAATGAGAAAGGCCAAGCTATGCTGGCAGAGTTAGACGGCCTCATCGTTCAGAGGAGGCTGCACAAGGCGCAGCTTTGAACTGAGATATTTTGTTACTTCTTGCGTGGGTCAGAGAGAATATATTGTCAAGAGGATGAGGTGATCCGGCAATTGATTTCGCAATACAGATATATAGGAATTATATAGGAATCCGATGGACCGGCGTGTAGAAATGACTTCCTGAACTAAAGAAGATAAAGTACGGGTGTAGAATGGTGTAGAATCTAGAACTTCCCAGGGTTGGGCCAAAATCTTCCTCATTTATGAGAATGCAGAGTCTTTTTCATCTGCTCTATGAGCTCTGAAACATCGAGTTATGACACAGTCGAGGGTTGCGGGGGGCAGAGGTTCATAGACTCGGCCAGGCGTCGGATAGCCAGACAGACCGTTTCTACAAAGCTCCGGTGGACAGCAACTTGCACCGCAAAAGCTCGCTTTTGCTGGGTAGAGTTGGGATATGCTGATATGCTGAGTTCATTCAGCTTCTGGGGAACAAACATAACATATGGAACATGAAAATGAGAGATGGGCCCAACTCAAATGACTCAAAGGCAGAAGGTTTTGGAGTCATGGCAATTCATGGCATGTCCTTGCCAAGGTGACAAAGTCACAGCTCTAGTGGCAGAGTACAAGACACACGGTGGCAACGAATGGAATGGTCAAACCTGTCCGCCTTAGAAATTCACAGATTGACACGGGTCAAGAGGATATTTTGCATCGTTTGCCGCAGCAGTTTGTTTGCCCTGCATTGTGTTCTAAATGTTCTAACGGGCACTTCCCCCCTACTGCGACGATAACCATGCTTTTGCGGGTTCTCAGACACAAATATAGTAGAGATTTGATTTGGCGGTGATGTGCATTCAAGCCACCAAGCCAAGGGTGCATGTAGATTTTATTTATGGAGAGTTGCCGCACTACTCTTCCACTTTGGTGCGGAATTCGCCAGCAAGCTGGCGTGCGTTTTTACCTCAGAAGGTTGCAGCACCTCTGAAGCAACTGGTTCCACGTGAATGCACGACCAATTTCGGTTGAATCATGGTCAATCTATTCGTGGTGATTGATTGTGGCAGACTTGTGACCCAAAGCACGATGGAATCATTCTTCATGCGGACAAAAGATGGCAAAAGATACGAAAGGCCATCGTACAATGAGGTGTTCCATTGGAACAGGTAAGCCCCATTCGTTCTTGTCCGACAGATTTCTTATGCTTTTGCATGACGGACCCAACATACCATGGTAGCTGGTTGGCTGTTTCACTATGGGAAACCATTCGCAAGAAAAAAAGTTTGAAAACAGCTGCTCATGTTCGCTACGTTGGTTGCATCGGTGGTGTGAAGGCTGGAGTCAGTGTTCTGCGTCTTCACAGATGTGTGATTTGAATTGATTTGAGGCCTATCTTGACGAACACCCAGCCCTGTTGGCACAGCTTGTGCGCACTGGCGATGCTCCTGCTACTCGTTTGTCACCCCCAGCATCGCCTTTGGTCTGAAGCTGAGTGGCCAGCACCACACATGATCAGCCCGTGATCAGCCCGGTTTGTTGAGTTTAGTGACTGGTGCTTCAGGATGCTGCTTCATGCTCAATGACTCAATGATGCTTGTTTCTCGGAATTAGCTTCAGGATGTCAAAAAGTTGGACCTGCTGGACTATCAGCTGGACAATCAGGAGCCCGTGGAGGATGAGAAAGATGAAATTGAAGCGATGGAGCGCCGAAAAAAAATGGCAGCAGACATTGTGCTGAAGACCAGCTCTCTTGAATTGGAGGTCTTGGAGGACGGCTGCGCCACCAGAGAATATCGCGGGTCCGCATTGCTGTAGGCGAAGGTAGATCTGGTAGAGATTTATGGATAAGAAGATATGTGATCGCTCAAACTGACATAACTGACTGGCCAGATTGTATCACTGCGGGATCACAGTGCCCATGGATTCAGCACGATTCAGCAACACGGCAAAAGAAAACCATGTGGCCTGCATGTTGATGCTTATTGATTGCATCTTTTTGCATCTCTTCAGATTCTCTTGCTTAAGTGTGAATTGTCGGAGCGTCTCAGATAGACCCTGTAAGACCTGAGAAGACAGACGGGCATTTTTTTCCATCTGGTGCATCAAAATATGACAAAAAGATGTGGCAAGGGCAATTGTCTGAACTGTGCCATTGTTGGTAGGAAGATTGGAAGATCAGATCATCAAAATAAAATGGGTGGTTTTCCATTGCCGAATCCGATTATGATTACTGATAGAGACTGGCCAGGAGACCAGCACCTCCACCGTGACCACGAAGACTGATGAGGAAATGCCGCGCATCCTTGGGCGCCTGACACCTAGGAGCGGCACAATCCAAGACTTGTCATATCTTGTTTTCTTTAAAGTTCTCCGGGCTAAACCAGCAATTTCTCTCGGGTAGATAGTGTTGATTAATTTTAAGTGCTTGCTAATAGCACAACCTTCAGGGAAGTTTCAAAAACAGGCCGAGCTCACTTTCAAGAAGTAGCTATACTCGTTGGACTCCGACGACTGATATGGATAGGTGTGCTTGGACCATCCTGAATCATCAAACCATGCAACTTGCGAAAGTCAATGTGTGCTTGCTTTCAAATGAAGCTCTGCTTGGAGGATATTGGCTGAAGAAGCAAACGAGTTCTTGGCGGAGCCAGAGACATGTTCCCGCCGCAGTAGGAGCCAGAAGTCTCGGACACCGCGCATGCCTTCCAAGCAGCGACTGCGTGAGGTCTTTTGCTTGGCTCGGTTTCAGTATATTTTTCATTTATAACTCATGATAACAACTCCAGAGGTGATCAGTGGCATAGAATATGGTTTGGATTCTAGATTTACCGCAAATTTTCTTGCAATTTCATTCGCTCCTCGAGCATGCAGTAGGTGAAAAGGTATCGGATGACCTATATAGGCACACCTAGGCTGCTTCAAGTCAATCACTGTCGCGGAAACCAGCAGACGTGGACATGTGTGAACTCTGATTACTGCCGTATGGTATGGACTCCAATGACACCGATCATGATGGATCGGATAGGAAGTGGTCCAAGGCATCTACCTCCTGCGTTATGCGTTGCTTAGCAACAGTGCATGCCTTGCAAAGGGAGCGGGGACACACAGCCCTAGCCCTTGCGTTGAAGGATATGCCCAAAGGCCAGAGCTGTTCTTTCTGGTGCATTCACTGTGGATGATGTTTATGGTGCACCGAATTCAGGGAGGTCAAGGGGCTTCAGCAGTTTCTGAGCTGTTACGGATTCGATTTTTGTCCCTGCGCCGCTTTTCCAGGTGAAATTGCTGCCAAATGCATGCGGGAGTCTCGTGCAGCCGTAGATCTGTTGCTGACCGGCAACCCGACGTCACATTGAAAGGCTCTGGGATGTTTCGATAGGCGGTTGTTTCTGCTAGGACGCGTCATGCCTGCTGTTTTTCACTGTCTCGCAGACATGCCACCGATTGCATCAAGCAAAAGATCAGATGATTTGTCAATACAGTACTCGGGGCAAGATTTGGACTCTATGCAACGATTGCCACTGACTACACTACTGTATATCAGACTATATCAGACCATAGTGACTAGAGTGACTCCACAATATGGTGTATATATCATGCCAGTAGTACCGCACAAGGCGGTGGCGGAAGTTTCAAAAATAGTAAACCTATAGGAGAGGTTGGTTGTTGTGATTGCGGGATGGCAGAGCGAATCCACTGATGGACAGAAAGGTGGTTGGAGTTGTGTTTTCTGGAGCGGCTGCAATGGTTGCAGTGGTCACCTCACCACAACTGCTGGATGTAGTGTGGTGTAGTGCAGTTGTAGGTGTAGTTGTAGTTGTAGTGTAGTGGAGTTGTAGTTTTAAGTTGTAGTTGTAAAGTAGTGTAATTAGTGTAGCGCAGTTGCAGTTGCAGTTGTAGTTGTGGTGCGGTGTAATTAGTGTAGTGTATTGTAGTGTACTGTAGTGTTGTGTACTGTAGCGTGGCATAGTGTAGTGTAGTCTAGCGTGCTGTAGTGTAAAGTAGTGAGTTGTAGTTGTAGTGAAGTGTCGCGTAGTGCAATGTAGTGGCATTTGCAGTTGTAGTGTAATTTAACGTAATTAGTGTAGTGTAGTGTTGTGTAATGTAGTGTAGTTGCAGTTGCGTTTGTAGCTGTAATGTGTTGCAGTTTAGTGTATTGTAGTGCAATGTAGTGTAGCTGTAATTGTAGTTGTAGCTGTGGTGGTGGTGGTGTTGGTGGTGGTGGTGTTGCGTTGGGGCGGCGGTGGCGGCGGTGGGGTGGTGGTGGTGGCAGTGGTGCGGCGGGTGGCGGCGGTGGCGGCGTCGGCGGTGGCGGCGGGGGTTGTGGTTGTGGTTGTGGTTGTGGTTGTGGTTGTGGTTGTGGTTGTGGTTGTGGTTGTGGTGGTTGTTGTGGTTGTTGTGGTTGTTGTGGTTGTTGTGGTTGTGGTTGTTGTTGTTGTTGTTGTTGTTGTTGTTGTTGGTTGCTGTTGCTTTTGCTTTTGCTGTTGTAGTAGTTGTAGTGTAAATTGTGTAGTGTAATTGGTGTAGTGTAATTGGTGTAGTGTAATTGGTGTAGTGTAATTGGTGTAGTGTAATTTGTGTAGTGTAATTTGTGTAGTGTAATTTGTGTAGTGCAATTTGTGTGGTGTAATTTGTGTAGTGTAATTTGTGCAGTTTAATTTGTGTAGTGTAGCGTAATTAGATGTAATTAGCGTAGCGTAGTGTAAGTAGTGTTGTGTAATGTAGCGTAGTAAATTCGTACTTGTCGAAGGAAGTTTAGAAGTCAAACTTCCGACAATATGGACAGATAAAAAGCAGAGATGGGAAGAGTCAGAGAAGAGAAGAGAAGAAGAAAGAAAATCAAAATAGAGAAAGTCTCAGAAGAAAAAAGATCCAGGTGCGCGAAAAGGTAGGAAAGTCGCGAAACACTGTGTTTTTCCAATTATTTGTGGCTCCGGAGGGTCGAAAAGTAGGCTCGCTAAAGCGGCGGGTGCGGAGCCAGCTGGCCAGATGAGAGATGAAAAATTGCACGCCGTTGTGGCGCGAAGCACATTTCCAAGTCAAAAGAATGTACAAAACACACCAGGTTCGGACCACTTTTGGAAGTTGAGACACATTTCGAAGTCAAAATGTACAAAAAACCTCACGTTCGGACCACTTTTGGAAGTTGAGATGTGGGAAAAGTGCACGCCGCTGTGGCGCGAAGCACTTTTCCAAGTCAAAATGTACAAAGCACACCAAGTTCGGACCACTTTTGGAAGTTGAGATGTCGAAAAAGTGCACGCCGTTGTGGCGCGAAGCACATTTTGAAGTCAAAATGTTAAAAACACGCTATGTTCGCGCCACTTTTGGACGTTCAGATGTCGTTCCGCGTGGCAGGCGCAAGGGATTGTGGACTTGTCAAAAGTGAGCAAAACGTGAGGGTTTTGTGGCATTTCCAAAAACGATGGCAGGCGCAGTACAAGAGGCATGTTCATCAGAGCTGTTAGGAGGTCCGGGCGCTGATTTCCTGAGAGTGGTTGCATTTTGGAGCATCAGATCTTCAGGTTTGCTGAGATGATTTTGCGTGACAGGTGCAGCACTTCGTATGACCTGGCATCACTTTTTCGTGGCAGGCGCAGTAGTTTGGACAGATGGACTGGAAAAATTGCAAAACGCATTGGCACGAGGCCGTGAGCTCTGCACTTTTGAAGGATGTCTCGCAGAATTGCTTCGTTTTTGATGTTGTCAACTTAAAAAAATGAGGAAGTCTCGCAGAATTGCTTTTGACTTGGACATGTGCTTCGCGCCACAACGGGTGCAATTTATCATCTCTCATCTGGCCAGCTGGCTCCGCACCCGCCGCTTTAGCGAGCCTACTTTTCGACCCTCCGGAGCCACAAATCATTGGAAAAACCGTGTTTTGCGACTTTCTTACCTTTTCGCGCACCTGGATCTTCTTTCTTCTTAGACTTTCTCTTTTGTGATCTTCTTCCTTCTTCTCTTCTCTTCTCTTCTCTGACTCTTCCCATCTCTGCTTTTCATCTGTCCGTATTGTCGGAAGTTTGACTTCTAAACTTCCTTCGATGATATATAATTTTTGCATTTTGATATGTATGTATGTAATGTAATGTAATGTAACGTAACGTAACGTAACGTAATGTAATGTATGTAATGTATGTAATGCATGTAATGCATGTAATGCATGTAATGCATGTAATGCATGTAATGCATGTTATGCATGTTATGCATGTTGTGTATGTTATGTATGTTATGTATGTTATGTATGTTATGTATGTTATGTATGTTATGTATGTTATGTATGTTATGTATGTTATGTATGTTATGTATGTATGTATGTATGTCTGTCTGTATGTCTGTATGTCTGTATGTCTGTATGTCTGTATGTCTGTATGTATGTATGTATGTATGTATGTATATATGTATTTATATATATATGTGTGTGTGTGTATGTATGCATGCGTGTGTCTGTGTGTGTGTGTTTGTGTGCGTGACTGTAGTCTCATGTAGTCTCAAATTTGATCGCCAACCTGCTCCAAGGCGACCCAGAAGCTGAGAGGCCATTACGCCTAGCGGGTCTCGAAGCAGGTGCCTGCGGCGCGGTTGCAGAGGAGCTCAGACGCACTCCCACGTGGCTTAGTGCCTTGGAAGATCTTGGAAGCGCGGAGCAGTGTGAATCGTCTCGAGATGTCTCAGGTATTCTCATTTGCAACGTAGTGATATGTAGAGCATGTGACATCCTCTCTCTTGGATGCAGGGTAAAAAAAAAATGATGCAGATTGTGGGATGTGAATCTGTAGCTGCCACCCTCCACGCGTGCTGATTTGCCAATGGTTTTCTTGTTGTGTCAGGCTATGATCGTGCTTTGCTCTGACCTGAGTCTGATCCAAATCACAGACATGACATAACTATATATAAATATTATAAGTATAGCATATATAATATATATATATATATTATATTATATATTTTTTATATATGATATATATATATATATTAATACAATAATACTATACGCGGAATATGTCCTGTCAAATCCTATGGTAAAGGGTGCTGCTGAATTTCCCAGGCTTGACCGTCATTTTGAAGAAGAGGCTTCGTGGCACTGGATGGCACTGGTATGATCGACATTGATCGACAATGATTTTCTTTGGCCATGTGGATTCACAGGGTTGATCCATTGGTGACTTCAGAACGCAAGGATTTTTGGCAAAGGGACACAAGACTTGAAAAGTCTGGAAAACCGACCCTTGAAGAATGCAGGCAAGTGGCGATGGCACTGAAGACCCCAAGTGCTGGATGCGTCGAAGTTCTCTTTTGGTTTGTCTCTTAGTATTCTTAGCCTACTCTGATCTTTACCGTCAGGACACAGGATCCCAGAATTCACCCAAATCTGTGCGTTGAGGACAAATTCAATGTCCGAGTCGACGTTCTGATTGATGTGCCCCAGCTGCCAGAATTGGATTTTGAAAACAATGACTTTCCAAACTTGGAGGAGGTATTGCATGGTATTATCAGCATCGACACATACAGTGAGAGGCAGTCAGAAGCATGCTTCATGACATCTTCGTGACTTCATGATGTATGAAATTGATTGAAATTGTATGACCAATTAAACTGTGTATGGCGGCTATTCTCAGCAACTTTCCCAAACATTCCCGCAGAGTCGATGTAATGACCTTAAAGATCACAGATAGGTCAGATAGGTCAGATAGGTCAGGGGATAGAGATGCGATGAGATGCGCATTTGGCTGCGCTATGCGCACTATTCAGGCATGCACAAACGCACTCAGTGAGCTTTTGGCGGCTGGAACCGCAGATGGATGCCTGCAGGACTGGCTCAGGGCACTTGGCAGGTCCTGGCAGTATAACATGAGAGCAGTACGCAGATTCACACAGTATAGCAATGTATAGCAATGTATAGAATATATTTAAACATTTTAAATGGTAGGTTGATCGGCTCAAGAATAACTGGAAGAGGCAGCACGCTACGAAGATGGGACAGTTTTTGTTTCCTCAGATGTGGAAGCATGTGGTGATTGTTGTAAGGTTTATTAGTTTGAGGATGTCGATCAGACCCCCCCCCAAAAAAAAAACTTTGGTGATGAAGTGGCAGGTTTGGACCCGAAACGACGGCTACGATGGATTCGCTGCTTGACTACGTCACAGCCAAGAGATGTGGTAGACATTGGCAGACTTTGTTTTCGGACTTGAATATGCTGTGACTGTGGCACGTGCCGATCAAGTTTCATGCATGGATCAGGCCAAGGGTCAGATATGCCATGATGATGATGAGAGCACAGGTCGGGCACAGCTTTGGCAGTCTGCACGGAGTCTACACACTTTGTGCATTGTTTGTTCCTTTTGTTCCTTATTACGTGCATTGGAATTTAGATTCACTTGGATTCCTGAAGGTCTGATCAGAGGGTTGTGTCTACTTCCGCTGAGTTGAATCAGGATGTTCGGATGTGCATTCCTCGTTGTTGTCCAAAGCTGCTTTACAGGAGAGTGGCTACTATCGCTCTTCATGCACTATGCGCATTGCAAGGCTTGTAAGAGCCACATGAGTCAGCCACAGGCCACATTAAAATGTGTTATAACTTTTAACACATTAAAGATGTTAAAGTGTGTTGACAGGTGGGTTAGACAGGTGGAATCGTCACGGAGTCGTCACGGTTTGCCACGATGCAGGAAGCCTTGGGCCGACTACGAAGCTTTGTGTCTGCTGGTGGCCAGCACTCCAGCAGCACTGAGCTCTTCAGCCATCCATGTAGCCTTTTTTTCAGCTTACAAAACGGATACGATTTGATTTAGCATTGTTACTATGCCTTGTTTTTTAGAGGGATAGCGGGTAAGATATGCAAATATGCAATTACTTACATTATCTAATGCATTAATCATGTGGGTGTATATATATATATCACAGAGAGAGAGAGAGAAGGAGAGAGTGTGTGTGTGTGTGTACACACACCGGTCGTGCACATAATGATTTTAATATGTACAGCATAGCCTAACCAAAGTTTGAGCAAACGATAAAACTTTGCTGGAAAGTTCTGGAAATAGCATTGGTAGGCAAGCTGTGGAGCATCTCCTACTTGATTGATCCTGATCTTGAGGCATGCCCCTGAGCTTGTGAGGACAGGGCTTCTTTTCTTTGGGCTATGGAGTGCAAAGATCACGGTTTGGAAAGCGCCAGCAGTTGAGACACTGTTTTCTTCTTGAAGCAGTTTGCGGCCTGTGAGGAACTCTTTCCGCGCACGAAGGCGCTGGCTGCATGGTTTCACTGCTTCCAGGTTGGTGTCTAAGTTTAAAAATAAACTAAATGAGTACACATAGGTGATGTTCTCTGACATTCTGTTCCATTTGGGTGAATTTTAAACATGCTGTGATATAGTAATATGTCACTTTTCCTAGGCCTTCGGGCCTTCTTGATTATTACTACCATTATTGATCCATTGGAAGGCGTTTGAATGAAGTGATCGAGCACAAGGACAGCAAAAGACTTGGGAAATACCGCAAATATGATGGACACTTGCAGCATTTTGCAGTACTTGTGCCTGCCTGTTGTTTGTGAGGACCGAATGCTTCGCAGAGTTCTCTCCACTGAACAGGCCAGAAAGCAGGAACGAGGAGGAAGCGGTTGCATGAAAATTCAATCATATTCAATCTAATTACTTCCCCATCTTTTTTCAGCCATGAGATGGTTGTGCCACCGAAAGTCCACCAAAGTAGTTTGGGTAGAGCTGCTTTCAGCCAGTACAGGTATCAACCGGACAAGTCAAAGCCTTGCGCATGGCTGGCGAGCGTGTTTCCCACCAGGCCGGGCCAAATAGCGCTGAACACCCTGGGGCCCATACGGCTGCAGCGCACCGGACTAAGCCATAAGAGACAGATTACATCAATCTCCAAACAAAAATTGTTCATTGGAGATCAGCCAAGGCTTCACAAAATGCTGGGTTCCGTGACGCTACTAGAGCATGAGCCTGAGCTTCATGATCATTTTTCCAAATTCAGATTCCTTCACGTGCGTGATTTTGTTGCGCCTCCAGATGGTGCTGAAAGCTTGTATTCAGGCGTGCACTCATGGGATGCTTTGCACGGAGCACACCTTTGGAGGTCATGCACGAGGCAAGGAAGTTGTCCAGGATGTTTTTGCCAACGGACTCGTTACCGTCGCACAAATCCACATCCGGTAGGCTGGGGTGGGGTGGGGTGGGGTGGGGTGGGATAATAACGTCATTGGCATTTCCACATGATCTTGATGCTACGCTCTATGATCTTCATTTGCATTTCCACATGAACCTGATGCCACGCTCTCTGATCTTCAATTGCAATTCCACACATCCGCATCCGATAGTCTGGGGTGGGGTGGGGTGGGGTGGGGTGGGATAATAACGTCATTGGCATTTCCACATGATCTTGATGCTACGCTCTATGATCTTCAATTGCAATTCCACATGAACCTGATGCTACGCTCTATGATCTTCATTGGCATTTCCACATGATCTTGATGCTACGCTCTATGATCTTCAATTGCAATTCCACATGAACCTGATGCTACGCTCTCTGATCTTCATTGGCAATTCCACATGATCTTGATGCTACGCTCTATGATCTTCAATGACAATTCCACTAAACGGATGCGGTGCTAAACAGATGCGGTGCCACGCTGGGGTTCTATCGTTCCTATGGTCTTTGTGTTATGTACTAACCTAGACGTCATATACATCCCGCTGGCATATACATGCAGACATGAACACGTTAACATTCTTTTCCTTCATATTTTCGGATCCTTCAGAATGGGCTTCTCGTCGTGTTAGATGGATAGGTTCGGGATGTCTTGTGTTGGATTGGGAAATGTTTGCAATCCTCAAATATGGAAATGCATGCGCTCTTTCCAGTGGCGGTGGGAGTGCGCAGGGAAAAACCTGATGGAAGCCACCGCTGACACGTTGAAGAAAATGTGAGAAAAAGTTGCGGTTGCCCTTTTTGAGGCTGAAGTCATGGAAGGGTTGTCATTCCCAAAGTAGATGGACCTTTTTTTTGGAAAGTTTTGAATGCAAAAACTGGCTCCTCGCTGTGAGGACGCAGTAATTTTGATCATTTTCGTACGCCGGTAACGCTTCCGGCGGGATGTTTTTGGACAGTGTCTATGTACATCTATATAAATCTATATGTAATCGTGGGTAAATCTTTATACCTGGAAAACCTGGTGCCCATTGTTTTGGGCACTTTCCAAAGTGCCTGGAAAGTGTGCCATTTTAGGAGTAGGATTTCTACGGTTATTTATGGCACCGTACGGCTATCTTTGGCACTTTTTCCGAACATGATGCATCAAAAGATGAAGTGTATTTTTTTGGTGCGTGTGTGTGTGTGTAAGAAATGTAAAGTGACACAAAAATGGGCTACCAGGCCAAAGTAGCCTGAAATAATAGGTAACTACGGCTTTGCAGGTATGTGTGTGTGTGTGCGTGCGTGCGTGCGTGCGTGTGTGTGTGGGTGGGTAGGTGGGTGGGTAGGTGGGGGGGGGTGGGGTGGGGGGGTGGGGGGTGGTGGGGGGGGGGGGGGGTGGGGGTGTGGGTGTGGGTGTGGGTGTGTGTGTGTGTTTTTTTTTCCTACACACCTTTTTGCAACTGCCTTAAAGGTTAGTGCCAGCCTCTCAACTGTTTCGTTGGTTCCGTCAATGGAAGCTTTGAGGCCGCATGAAACGCTGGAGAAAGGGTGAAAAGTTCAAATTGATGGGAAAAATAAAACTTCTGGTCCATCCTTGAGCTGATTGGTTTTGCAAAGTCCTTCACTCTTCTGTGCCAACTCCCGGTTGGGCTTGGAGCAAATGAATCAGGGCTGTCTCAGGTGTCGTCACTGGATCCACATGTGATGCATCTTTGGTGTTGCTGGGCTCAGAGGAAGTGCCACTCTCTGGTTGATACACGGGCAGCCTAAGGCAGTCAGTTCTGACGGCCCAAACCACTGTCGCATGTGTCTGGAACCATGTTGGAATCTGCCAGACAGGGGCCGGCTTTTGTTCATCGTCTGTCAACAGCCAGGCAATCGGCTGAGCTGCAGTGGTGACCCCTGGTTGGATCTTCAGCAGAGCTCGGCAGTGCCCTGATCTGTCTTGGCCTAAATGTGCAATGGCAGCTACCACAATGTATCCTAGCATGTCGCATTCCAATCCAGTTGTAAAGACAGGAATCTCAACCTCTGCCTCCAAATCAATGGCACTTACATTGCGTTCAATGGTGCCACAGCCTGTTTGATGAAATCGATCAATGGTCAGGCAGATGCAGGGGGGCGCAGTCACGAGCGCTGTGCACATGGATTGCTCCTGCATCCAGGTCACGATCAAATCTGTCAACTTGCAAGTGCCACAAACATGATGTCCTCGTGCAAATGGCAGCAAAATAGGAGTATGTGAGGTGCTATGGTCAAACACATGTAAGCCATGCTCCGTGTCCAGTCTTCTTTCCCATCGCATGTCGAAAGCTTGCGGTTGAAGCCAATTCAGCAGGTGTTGTGCACATTCTGCACTGTCCTGCTGAGTTTGGGAAATGCCCCAATCAAGCAAAATCTGCTTAAACCAATCGATATTCTTCAGCACGACAGGCGTCGAATGATGCTGGATGAAATCAATCAGCGCAGAAGATTGCCAGCCCCAAAGAGAAGTCTCATGGCAATTGAGGCACAAGAGTGTCCACAGGAATGAGTAGGCAGTGCTGTTGCCGTAGCACCAGTTCCTGTCATTGGCCATGCACATGATGCTCAGATTCTTGGTCATCTCTGCCACGAGCGCAGGACTCAGCGCTCTTGTTTGGCTGGTGTGCCCTTCAGCCCCTTCAGCCCCTTGCCCCGGCCCTTGGGTTTCGGTTGGCCCATCATGGTCTGCAGGGCCGTGGCAAGGGGGGTCTGCTGCTGATTGTGCTGTTTCATCGAGGCCCCCACAGTCATCCATATGGCATTGTGGGTAAGGTAATGGAGGAGCTCGTAAGGCCTGTTGGTTCTCATGTTGATCTGGAGTCTCCAGGGCACCGCCTTTGAGGTCTGGTCTTTGCTCTGGCTCAATGCATGAAATCTGATCACCATTGCTGGGTCGGTCAGCATCTCCAGTAGTTCCTCCAAGTGCTGCTTCATCTTGGCTGCACTGACTGGCTGCTTCTTGTCTATGGTCAGCTGTTTGGTGGCTGGGTCCCATCGATGAAAAGGGAAGCTGCGATCTGCCAGGATCACTCCCTTCTGCAGTGATGTCGTGAAGAGGCCCTCCGTGTCCTTGCTCTCCACTATCTGGCCTGCACGGGTCATCATGGCGTTCAGCAGCGCCTTCATGAGGTGTTGCCGGAGTGGCATCTTCAATGATGTGGACCCCTCCTCCATGGATTTCTTCCATTGGGCCGACTCCTGAAGCAGGATGTGAAGCGCTCCTGTTGGTTCTGGATTCAAAAAAAGAATGAATTGATCCATCTTTCTCAAATCCTGCAACTCTTGATCGTGACGCACCACCAGTTGTGTCAGCGTTCGAAGCAGCTGCATTGTCGGAGCTGTGCTGACGTTTGGCATGTCCACGTCCTCTTTCGAGTCTTGGCTGTTTGGCTCTTCTTTGCGTCTGGACTTGGCCTTCCGTGGATTGGCTTGCAGCGTCAGGTCCTTGTCCTTCACCTGGAACAGGGGAGCCAGATGCTGGAACGCCTCGACCATCTGTGCTGAGGCTGTGAGCTCTGATGGTTCCATGGTGCAAGCTGCCACCGTTCAGCAAAGATCCAAACAAAAGTGCTACCTGGATCAAGCAGGGGCACGATCCTCTGAGATGGGAAAGAGCCAAAACCACTCTGTCAGCTAGGGTTTCATCTGATCGCAGTTCAGCTGGCAAGTTGAAAATCAAATGGCACAACGGGCATTGGTATCCCTCAGGTGACATGGCATGCATCACAGGCAAAAACTGTTCCATGTAGAATAAAAACATCTCATGTCTGCAGTTGTGCTCCTCGCGCAGGTGGAGCGCCAAATCTGAGGTGGCATGGAAGTCACCGCAGAAGATGCATTGACCTCGTAGCATCTGTAGGATGGCAGGGTCCTGCCAAACATTTGCAAAACTTCTGTGCACCAACGCCTGTTCGAGTCTGTATTTGATTTCCCTGGGGAGCTTGTCAGATAGCACGTCCTTCAGCGTGGTGTCTGTGATCACCGTAGGCGCAAAGATCTCTGTTCCCATGCGGTGGTAGCTCATGGCAATCTGCCTGAAAGGCAGGCATACATGTGAGCCACGTTTGGTGCCAACCTGTGGGTTGCAATAGCAACGTTGCTGATACAGGGCATCAACCAAAATCATCGTGAGTCTTTCTGATTGACGCCAGAGCCTGGCGTGTGAGGTTTGTAGATGGAGTGAAAGGTCTGCTGCCCTCTTGCAACCCTTGCCACAAGCCTGGCATACGATGGTCAGTCTCATTCTGTTGTGTGGTGGTGCAAGGACCTCCATCAATTTGCCCTCCAAACATGCCTGGCGCCAGAGCGCATCGATCTCCATCGTCTCTGCTGAAGCGTTGGGATTGAAGTGCTCACATCTGCCCTGCACTATGTGGGACTTCAAGCCAGACATCGACTGAAACAAAAGTCCACAATGTGCGCATGCTGTGGTGTTGTCAAGAGCGTCACGACTTTCAACAAAACTCAGCCCCTGCAATCCATGTGAAGCCTGGAGGTGTTGGACCAATGCAGCTGTAGTGCAAAACCAGATGAGACAGAGTTCACAACGGTGTCGTTCCTCAGTCAATGGTGTTGGGTCCACTGCGTCCAGTCCCGCTCCATTCACCAGCAAGACAGCAATCTGTGACCAGGTGGGACAGGAATGTGTGCGAAACAACGCACCGCAACATCCACATGGTGGCTCATCACTGTAAATGTTCGTGAGCTGAATCGCTTTCTGGGGAGCGTGCTCCCATAGTTCTGGGTGCTGCAGTCGAAAGTGTTGATGAAGTTCCTGGCATCTTGAGAACTGAAATGAGCAGATCACGCAGCGGCTGGAAAGATACCGGCAAGCCGCCTGGTCAGTTGCCAGCTGTTCCCAATTCCTTTCCGCAATCAGGTGTAGCAGTCTGGGGCCAAAGTCCTGCTGCTTGAGATTGTGCAATTCATCTGCAGTTATCAGTCTCAGGCCACGCGCAGCTGCGTCAGCAGCCTGTGAGTTCATTGGTCGTAAGGTGCCTAGATGTGCTCTCAGTGGATCTGTGTCAGCTCCGTAAGGTGCAGGTCCAATCAGCAAGGCCTGGCATCCACGTTCTATGTGTGTTCTGAAACCCCGCCATGTGGTGAAGGCTTTGGAGCAATGTTTGCATGTGGGCAATCCATTATCAGCATGGGCAGCTGGATCCACATGGTGTGTGCGGTACATGGCATGTCCATGGGCAGTCGTACAATGGCGTCTGAAGGCGCTGACATCCATGGTGCAGAAATCACACTTGGCGCACTGAAAGAAGGAGGTACCTGCCTCCAAGTCCAGAGGCAAGGATGTCTCCAAAGTAGCAGTGGCCTGCAAATGTTGAAGTTGGGTCATGAGGTCAGGTAAATGATGCCAATGAATTGAACGTGCCAAATCATGTGTCAAAAGTTGTGCATGTTGATCTTGATGCGTCCTCAGCAATCCCGCTGCAGTGCCAAAAAGCAATTGCGCCGGGGTAGGAAGTTGGTGCAAAAATAAAGCTTCATGGTTGGTGCGTCTGGTCAAAAAGGAATGGTCATGGGTCAACTTGCGCATCATAATGGTCAGTTGGGTGTTTGCCTTGCTGATGCCTTGCTTGGTCAAGCCTGTTGCAAAGATCCCGTAACTGAAAATTGGATAAATGCAAGTTCTCCAAAGCATAAATCTTTGTGATGTAGTCAAACCATGCTTTCCAGTGAGCCACCGCTGCAATCTTCTGAAGCCAACATGCATAAGACTCATCCTGTGTTGGAGGCTGGCATCTTCAAACTGTTGATATGAGATGATCACGCCCAAATATTTGGTGTTCTTCTGAATTGGGATGCAGACGGCAGGACGCCCTGGCACCATGATTTTCAAGTGTTCGCCATGTCGGTCTTTGCTGATGAAACGTCTACGTGTCGCACGGCTGGCAGAACCCTTCATTTCCAAAATTGCCACAGACTTCTGGGGATTAATGTCCATATCCATCGATTGCAACGTGGAGAAAAGAATTCCCAAAGCCTTGTGAAAATCAGTGAATTCTGCCAAGCTGACAAACGTGGCTCCTATATGGCAATCGTCTGCATACATGGTCAAGTGAGTCTGCAGCCAGGAAAGGGGAAGAAATTGGAGTAAGTCATGCATGAACAGAACAAGAAAACAGTTCCAGAGGCCAGGAGAGGCCTTACATCCTTGTCTCACTCCACGTCCAATCGGGAGTGCCATTTCTGTTTCCCCTAATTGCAGCACGTATGATGACGCTTCATGCCAGGTTGTGAGCAATTGGACAAGTGCTGTGCTGATGCCAAGGCTGTGCAAACGAGCAAATAATTTACGTCGATTCACATTATCAAAGGCGCGTTTGAGATCTAGACAGATTTGTAACCCCCCATACAGTTTATGCCTAGGAATTCCAGCGGCTCTGGAATGTGGCGTTGCCCTTTGCAGGAGGAGGAGGTTCCTCACATCAGCACAGTGCATGCATACCCTTCGAATTGCATCCATGGTGGATCTGCCGGTCATATATGCAAAAATAGGAAATTGCACCATATGCTCATATGCTTCAGTCATGGCTAAATGAATCAAAAGCCCTATCACCGCCTTACCGAGCGGTTCTTGCAAGGCCAATGGCCGCAAGTTGGCCGGTGAAACTGGGGGCTTGGAGGGTTTTGGAATGAAAAATAGCCATCCATTACGCCAACACGACGGTATCTGGGGGGGGGTGGTAGCCCACCAAACCTCAAGTTGGGAATACAGCAATGGTGCAAGCAATGGTGCAATTTGACGCCAGACAATGCCAGGGGCATATGGTCTGGCAGTGGCCCTGGTGGCCGGAATCATGGCTATGGCGCGTTCCAATTGCTTCACAGTAAAAGGCACACCTGGAGCATGTGAAAAACTGATGTCCATGTGGGAAGGTCCATCCCAAACTTCTCTGACATGTTGAGTCAGAATCGCCGCACTTTCAACTGGGTTGGCCAGTTGCCCTGCATGATTGCGCAACTGTATTGTTTTTCTGGGTTGTTTGGGGGCAAAACGGTTAATCAGAGAAAACAGTCTGTGTGTGTCATGTCGATTGGCGGCAGTTGCCGCTTCTTGCACAATTTCATTAAACTGGTTTTGTCTGATCTGTTTGGCCAGTTTCCTGTGAAAACGTTTCAATTTTGCAAACTGTATCGCATGATACCATCTATTGAAAATATTTTTGGTGGTGGAAAAACCAGGCCTCTGCATGCGTCGCCTATGCTCCCACTTGTTGAGGATTGTTGGCAGAGCCGTCATCCAAGGTGGAGTCGAGCGCTGCTGTTGTCCTTTGGGAAAATGAGTGCAAAAGGTCTCCATGACTGTCTGGTGCATGTGGTCCATCACACTGTCGGCATCATGTGTGGCAGTTGCAAGGTGTTGCGTAATAGCATGCTGGGTCTGCTGCGTGAATCTCTGCCAGGTGGGAGTTTGATCCACATAGGCCTGTCGACTCTCGCGTCTCTGTTGCATGGTAACTGTCTGAATCTTGTGGCGTTCAAAGGCAGGAATCCAGTACTTGGCAATTGTGCACATCATCGGTACATGTCCCACATCTGTTTGCTCAAGGAAGGGAGATTGCCACAAATAGCTGACTTTGCGGGCCTCCCCATCAGCGTACATTTGGCGCACGCAAATGTGGTCAATTCTGCTGGCCTTCTGTCCATGCACATACGTTGGACCTAATGTGGCCGACCAAGAATTGAGCACCACCAAAGAAAACTGACGCAAAAGCTGTAGGAATCTAAATTGGTCAGGGTGAGCAGGTCCGGTAATGTTCTGTCCATGCCATGCAAACACCTGGGTACCTGTATTGCTGGGGGAGGCATCAACAGAACAGTTAAAATCCCCAAGAAGTATCAGATTGTGCCTGTTTGGGATGCCTGTCAATACTTGTTCAAGCTGAGTCCACCACTGTGAGCGAGCCTTGTGGCAGGCTGTGTTGGCCTGAAAGGTGTGTTGGTAACATGCAACAATATCAATAGGTCTCGTTGGGCCAGTCAACCGCACATGTGCAAGTCTTCCACTATCAGGGAACTGCCAACTGATGTCAGCCGCTGCGCAGAGAGATGTAGAAATAAGTATCATGATCCCTTTGCCCCTATGTGGTCCCTCGCCTGTGTGCAAGCAGTGCCAATGTGGATCGGTCCAAAAGGCATCGTAGGTCAACCTGGTCTCCACCAAGACTGCGATGGTCACGTGGTTCAAAACAAGCCAGGCCTTCACTTCGTCCAGCCTGGCAGCAGAAATGCCGCCACAGTTCCATTGCCAAACTGTCAAGCGTCGTTTGGCAGCATGATGATGGTTGCATCGTTGCCAGTCTCGTTGCAAGTGGGTGGAGAGAGCTTTGGTGAGGTCAGGAGGTGAGGTGTGAGCGCATCCCATCCTCTCAAACTCTGCTGGAACATATTGCTTACCCTTGTACCATGCCACTCCTTGATGAAGTGAGCGCATGTAGGCCCTTTTCAAACTGCGTTTTTCAACCCTTGATCTCTCCTGTGTAGCTGTTTCAAGCCTCATTGACGTGCTGTCGCACATTGTGGGCCGCCTGCCATGTTGCTTTGTTCCCCTGATGAGAACTGATGTGGAGTCTGTTGGAACTCCAGTGGCTCCCATGGCTGAGCCACAACCCTCGCTCCTCCAGTGCTGCATGATGTTGGTCATTATGAGTGTCAAGGTCAGAAGTGTGAGACTTCTTGTCCTCCTTCCAAAAGCAGTACTGGGTCTGGACTTGGGACCAGACCTGCCACCAAAAGAGGGCCTCCACGTCGTTTGAGCGTTCGAACCAGTGCCAGTGTGATCGCCTGAAAATTGATGGCCGCGCTTTGTACTTGGTTTGGAGATCCAGCGTTCAGAGAAGGGACCCAAGGGCCACACAAGCCAGCAGGGGTTCTTCCCGGAAAAACTGTTGTGAATGGTGCCAAATGCTCTGTGCCAAAATGATTGAAGTGCAAAAGGAAAAATCAATGTACCAGCCAAAAAGATGAAAAACCACCGTGAAAAATTCTGAAATTGTATTATAGCCAGGGCCAGCCAATTGTGGGGAGCCCACCCCCAGTTCAGCCAAGGAGAATGTTCTCGTCGGCTCAGCCACCAAAAGCAGCTGCTGGAGAGCGTCTCCACAAAAGCAGGATGGAAAAGCAGTGCAAACTGTCGCGTGCTATAATGGTCAATCCGTGGAGAAACAGCAGGAACGTCAATGTCCCTGGTTGTGAGGTCCTCAGAAAAACCTGTGTTGGGACGTTCAGTCAGGGCGCCCACCCCGTGCCTGTGCTGTTCCACTGGGCCAGAATGGTATAATTGGGAGCCCACCCCACTGCGTGCTGAGTTGTTTGCTAAGTTTGCACCTGTAAATAAAATGGAGTGATGGAGTGAAAATTCAAGCCAAATGTATAATACAATGTCGAGGAAAAACAGCGACACCTCAAGGCCAGTCAGTGTTGTTATCGGGAGCCAACCCCGCAGAAAAAGAGGTGTTGTTGCAAGCCAGAAAACTTCAGGATGGTTGTAATGTTGCCAACCAAACCAACCAGGGATCGTCACCAGGCCAGTATTAGAGTTCCGGGAGCCTACTCCGCAGTGTGGTGAGAGGATCCGAGGTTGGCTGTCCGGTGCTTCCAAACTGGTATTGTCCAAATTATCCAAATTGTGCCACTGCAGGGTCTCAAATTGTGGGGAGCTCCCCGTGCCTGAAATTGAGGTGTCAGCGCCTCTGTCAATGTAGTTTGTCGCGCCGTCCAATAAAATGTCAATCGGGCCAGTCAGTGTCTGGGAGCCCACCCCAAGAGGATCTGAAAATCGCAACTTGAAATCTGTCCAAAAATTATGATTGCTCCAGGAACCCACCAGGCCAGAGTGATGTTGTCGGGAGCCAACCCCGCAGTAAAGGTGGTTCCAATGGTAAGAAATCAAAAAGCTGGAAAAATCAATCTGCCTCCGTCCAAGCTGCAAAAGAATGTCGCAGTCAAAGTCTCCTTTGACCAGTATCAGAAGCCAGATCCAAACGGCGTTCCACCAGAGGGCCGTGTTGATTGTCCAGTGGTGGAGTGAGGAGAACTCCACGATATGCCAGCGATGCAGCAAATGTGAGAATGTTCAGAAACCAGGCCCCAAATCAAAATAAGCAAAAGAAATCCCTGAGCAGCGGCGGCACGGCAAATGGCAAACGAGCGCGCGGTCTCACTGATCGAATCCGAACTCTACTTCTCCGTGGGGAGCTTTGGGTGCCACGCTCGTGGTGGCAAAGGAGCGTGTGTGTGTGTGTGTTTGTGTGTGTGTGTTTGTGTGTGTGTGTGTGTGTGTGTGTGTGTGTGTGTGTGTGTGTGTGTGTGTGTGTGTGGTGGGTGTGTGTGTGTGTGTGTGTGTGTGTGTGTGGTGCATGTGTGTGTGTGTGTGTTTGTGTGTGTGTGTGTGTGTTTGTGTGTTTTTTTTTTCACGCTCCTTTTCAAAGTTGAAATCGCGCTCGCCGCTTCATCCGATTGGTACGGATGGTTCTCTATGATTTAGAGAATCCTAGTCCCTCATCACCAGATCTTGTGACTTGGACAGGTGGGAAAAGTCCAGTCACTGCAGTTGAACGCCAGTGGGTGATGCGTAAATGGCAGTGCCAACATAGCACACAGCAAAAACTGCTTGCAAGAGGCCAAAATTGAGCCGGGCTCCATCCAGCTTGTCATCTTTTTTTTTGGGGGGCTGCATATAGTGGCCCAGAGCCAGGGGCCGGTACACCTGAGGGTTGCTCAGGGGCATGCAAATAGGTAGGGGATAAGCCGGCCGGGAGGCCGGGTGCAATGGGGAACTGCAAAAACCTAGCACAGCGGCAAAAGACGCCAAACAGAAGATTCTTCAGAGGTCACTCGCAGCAAAATGCCGGTAGCGGGTGTCCCTCAGCATGGCATCCGGTCTGGCTTTGGGTTTACTAGATGAAACGTGAGATGGCTGGTGAAACATAGTGTGAAGCAACAGCAATTGTTTTTTTTTTTGACTTCTTTTGGTGGTCCCCCTTTTTTTTTTGGCTTCTTTTGGTGGCCCTGATCCAGGGGTACACCTGAGGGATGCTCAGGGGCTTGCAAAAGGTGGGGGATAAGCCGGCTGGGATGCCGGGTGCAAGGGGAAAATGGGTGATCCTGGTCGCAAAGGCAAGAGAGACCAAAATGGTGCAAAATCACTCACAAGGTGCAGCAAAATGCCGGTAACTGTCAGCCTTCATGGCAAAATGCCAGGCTGGTGCAGAATGGGGTGAAACGGAATGAATCATGTGAAACAAGACTATGGAAGCAACAGTGGTGAAATTGTTTTGTTTTGTTTTTTTTTTGGACTTCTTTTGGTGGTCCCCTCTCTTTTTTTTGGGGGGGGGGGCTTCTTTTGGTGGCCCTGGTCCAAGGGGTACACCTGAGGGATGCTCAGGGGCATGCAAAAGGAAGGGGACAAGCCGGCAGGGAAGCCGGGTGCAGAGGGTCTGACAACACGTCAAATCTGCAGAAACTGTCCATGCAAAAACTATAGCCATTGCCAAAGTCGCTGGATGTCAAGGCTATTGAACGTGGCAGCCTATGTATTGGCAGTCACCCCAGGGTGAGCATAGAGCACAGTGAGCAAATCCGAATCCGGTTGAGGTCTCGGCTGAGCCATGAGATGCATTTCAAGGCTGTCTGCGCGGCAGAGCCAAAATCCAGTAACGCCCTGGCTGAAGTTATCAGGAAAGACCCAGCAGCGCTCAGGAAGTCTGCAGTCATCACAAAACATCCACATACTGGGAGCGGCCAAATCAGACACCTCTGGATATGTGCGCAACATCGTTTGATAATGGCCGCCGTTGGTGTGACCTAAGTGGGCCGAGACAGCAACGATCGTATATGACATGGAGGTCAGTGTGGTATCCGTGGCCAGTACCGGCACCTGAACTTCCCATGCAAAATTTATGACTGCCGCATGCTTGATCAAGCTGCCTGACGGTGTCATAACCATTCGATCCACATGAATGACCAGCAGCTCTCTGGGGTCAGTGAGGCCCGCACACATTCCAAGCTCCTGGCTCCAGTGCCTAAGCAGGGCTGTGAGGGAGGTCTCATTGCCGCTGAGCAGTGATGGGTCCAGTTGCAACGTCAGTGGCATGAATCGGTCTCCATGATCATGCACTTCTGTAACATCAGAAGCAGTCACGCGTCTTTCCCAGCGGTT